TTTACACACATTCTTGCCAACCTTGTCTCTTAGAAATTCTGGTTTTATAATACAAATTTTCCCAATTATATTGTGGCGTGAAACAGTTTCTGCCTGGATTATGTTTGCAGCCAAGGTTCATGTGGTGTTGGATATGCACAAAAGCTGTAGAGAGGTGGTTGGGGTATACTTTGACAGTGGAGACTGAGGTTTGTGTCTTGACTTTTGCATGTGGTTACATTTAAGCAACAAAAACACTTAACTGTAGGTTAAGGTTAGGAAATACTGTAGTCTTGGTTAATGCAGTGAAGTGTGTGTCTCGCGCTTCAAGTCATTGTTAACATTTTAGCCACACAAGCAGCATAACAACCTATCTGTCAGTCAGTCCACCGCTTTGGTTGAGACTGAAAAAACTCAACAGCTACTTAATCACCATGAAATTTTATGAAGGTATTCATGCTCCCCAAAGGATGGAGCATGCTGGCCTTGCTGGTCTCCTAACTTTTCCTCTATAGCGCCAGTAGCCCCCCTCACAGTGAATGGCTTGGCTGCCATCACTATTATGATGCACGAAATTCAAATTAGGGTGGGAAGCAAAGAGTAAAATGGGTGAGATGGAGGAAAGACAGTATTGGTCTAGTGTAGATGATATTATAAGAGAAAGGTATAAACAGGAAATCGCAACACAAAAAGTTTGAACCAGATCCATCTTCTTCCTACACTATGCTGCGTTACTTGCAACACAAAAAGTTTGAACCAGACCCATCTTCTTCTTCCTACACTATGCTGCGTTACTTTAGTGGAGCGCCCCATGGTGCCTGTCCCAGCTGTGTGACTCACTTCCCCCATTTAGATTAATAAGAAAAGTTGTTTTTTCATACAGGGTGAAAGTCTGTGTGAACTTGGCCTAACTTGGTCAACTAAATTAGCAAACATAATAAACTTCATACTGGCTTAACATCAGCATGTTAACGTGCCAACCATGGCATTTATCGCAGCACTGCCGTCCTTGTGCAGCCTCACACTGCATCCACATGGCAACTCATAGTCTTGAAACTCAGTCAGTGAAACCAAGACCAAGTGTTTAGAAAGGCTAAACAAATTTAAAACAGCTTGTACTGCTGTAATCGCTTTAAGTGGACGCTGTAGAAAACAAATGAAATATGCGGCCAGAGAGCATTTTGTGTTTATGGTCCATACCAGTATTTTGTGACTGGCTCGTTATGTTAATCACTGAAATTTGATTAAAAAAACATTTGCTGGTGAAATTTAGTTGTATATAAACAATATTTTTAGAAAACAGTTGTTTAGATGAGAAGATTGATACCACTCTCTTGCTTGTTTGGCAGTCAGTTGGCTAGCTAGTCTGGCTCTACCCCCCACCCCCCCCAAACCACACAACAAACACACAAAATAACAGAATAAAAGAAATTAAGAGACAACTACCAGCACCTCTAAAGCTCACCAATTCATACATGGTTAGTGGTAGCTTCATATTTATCTTATAGACACGAGTCTTAGCGATTTTTTTAGAATGTTGAACTGTTCCTTTAAATATAAGCCTTAAAAAGTTCAAAAGCAAGAAGCAAGTGGTCAAGGTCAGTCACGTATTTGTTGCTCCCCAGTGCTGCATTAATTATAATGTCTTCATCTGGTGGGAAATCACTTCAGGTGATGTTCAAGCAGTAAATTAGCTTGTGACCACAAACCAGCCCAATCAGCAGGGTATCATTCCTGGGATAGCTACAGAAGCGTTAAAGATGGGGTCAGCTGAACTATCTAAGGAGGAGGCTAAAGTAGTGACACAAGTGAAGAACAAAGGCATGGGGAAAGAAGAAAGGAGCCATTGTGCATCAGAGCAGACCTCCCCAGACTTAATTACTTCTCATTCATTTTCATTCAGCCTTCTCGAGATAATGCACGAAGAAGAGGGCATGCTGCGGAGGATAAACACAGGCCTAATGAAGATGAGTTAGTCATGGACAAATGAACCCCCTCCCCAAAAGAAGAAAAAAACTTTACAGGATTAAGAGATAATGATATAAATAAATTTGAGGCAGTAAGAAACAGTAGAAATTCCACCTTCCAAAGCCAGAAAACAGCTCTGCAGTCAGACATCCCTCTGCACTGGACTTGGCTTTTCAAAATCTCATGTGGCACAATCTTTAGCAGCCCACTGCCTTATGGACCAGATAAGTAGGGTCATTTGTTGGGCTTTTGAAAGGACAGTAAACCTTCTTTCAGCACACATAACAGCAATAAACTGTAACAAATGTAAAACACCTTAACATTTCAAAACTTTATGTGAAACCATTTCTTATTCATTCAAAATCTGTAGCATGACATCTATAAAGTAAAGCTGGTATTCAGATGTTTGCTCTGGTAGTTTTCATGGAATTCACAGCTTGAAGCTTAAAGCAAAAAAGTTAACTTTGCTATAAGAAAATATTTGCTATAAATTCCATTTAAGGATGTCTGAGAGCAACACAGTGGCCCCTGACACAGGCCTCTTCCGTGGGACAGATTGGTGTTCGGCTTCCTGCCTCAATGCTGATGTAACTCGGAGGTCAGAGCGAGCACAGCCCACTGAATGGATCTCTTATTTTGAAAACAACCCTGAAATGATCACAGCGTCTGTGTGTGTGTGTGTGTGTGTGTGTCTGGAATGGTTTAAACTAGCTCCACCCTGCATGCTATGGGTTTTTTTAGCACAAGAGCTCACCAGACCTTTTCACTTTTCACCTACCTGCGCCTCCACAACTGATGAAATCCTCTGAAATCGTCAGGGAAATGTTTGGATTTCTGATCCGTATGATCGTAATTATATGTAACCTTATGACAAAATATGTCATGTTTTCATAGCTTTGGACAAGTTGCTAAGAAGTCTGACCATGCATTTTCACATTATGCACCTTTTTATATATTTTTAGAAAACAAACAGTATTCTGTATTTTACTTATAGTCAACAAATCCTGTCTAAAAACCAAAACCAAAGATTATTGGCCCAGCTAGCAAGCGTTTTCTGTGTACTCTGTAAGTACAGTGTGTTAAGGCCACTGATGAAGAAAAACAAATCTGAGATGCAATGTTGGAAGGAAGATTTTAGAGAAGAAATATTTGGAAGAGTCCTGAGATAAAGTCCAAATATTATGAGCCAAATGTTGCAGAGACTGAAGTTATTTTACAAGAAAATTGTGTAAAGTTTGCAACTGTTTTATAACTTTACTTATGAAAATTCACAGCTTTATTCTCCAAATTTGTGATTGTGCTTCTTTTCCCTCCCAGTAGCCACAGTATCAAAAGTCTGATGCAGCTTCTTCTTCATTGCCAGAGAGACTATTAAAAACACACCAGTGAGCCACATGACTGCACCGGGTGACCCTCAACACCCACAACAGAGTTTATTTCAACTCAATCCCACGCACACGCATCCTTCTATTTGTTACCTGCTTTTAAAGATTTGTATCTTCAGTAGGAACCTTGGGGCTCGAGAGTCATGAAGTACTGAATGATTCACTAACACATTGTCGTCTTTTTCATAGCATATGTTGACAGTATGAATGACATCACACTTACTCTAAGATTTTTATATTCTTTGTTATACATATTTTTCTTCTGGATGATCAATTGTTGATGAGACATCTGCTGACACTGACGTGCATCTTATAGGCAATTAATTGTATTGGAAAATATCTCTTTCTGTATGTGTAAATGTGCTTGTGTATGTGTGTGTACGCACTTGCATGAGTGAGTTGTGGGTTATGCCTGTGTTGCCAAGCGACGGTGACATGTAGGTACATTGCTTTTATCACACTCGACCACACATGCAGACTGCCCACACAAAATACTAGACTTTAGTCTGCTAAGCCAAGCTCTGCATAAGCTAACAGGACCCAAAGGATTCGCAGTGTTGAAGGGTTGAGCCATCACTGGTATGCACTGGGAGGGGGTGGAGGGGGGCTTGGGGGACCTACTTCCTGGCTGACAGGAAATTCAACTTCCTGTCTTGATTAATGAGAGGGGGTTGTTGGATCACACAGGGCCACTGAGGGACCACCGAGCTCCCACATTTCACATTAAATGTCAGATGTTTTTGTTTTTTTTCCTGTCATGGTTCTCAGTCATGGAGTGCTGGAAAAAAAAGTGATCTTGAAATAGTGGAGATAAGAATATTTCAACATCTCAACACATAAAGTATGTGGCAGACAAATGCTTGTTTATTTCCTATGGCACCCCCTACCCCCTGTTTTCCCCCCAGTGTACTGCTGTATTTTATTTGTGAATGCATGAGGGTCAGGATCCAGTAAAACCAGTGTTTCTCAACCACATGTCACTGGTCAGGAGTCGTGTTAGGGTGAAGAATGTAAACAGTGAGGAGAACTGGACTCCTCTCAGAGCTGGAGGAACATAGCGACAGTGGCAGTGTGCACTCTGCAGCCACTCACTAATGGGATGTTAGACTTGTTACAAACAAGGGAATGTCAAATGTAGGCGGGCTCCACCACTGGTGAAGCCCTCTGCAATGCATTTTACTGATGATAAGTGTGAGAAGGGGCGTAGGAAGTGAGAGGGGAGGCAGGCCAGGGAGGGAGGGAGCAGGAGAATAGAGAGAAGTGCTTTTTAAGATTTCATGTTCTCCCCCAGCCCCCACAGTTTGCAGATAAAGGTTGCTGTTGCCAAGGTGACTTGGCAGAGAAAGGGAAAGTATCTGACTGTGTTTTGCTGTTCTTGTGCAGGAAGCTTAGAAGCCAGAGGCATAGATAAGATGATTTCAGTCCCTTCTCCACAGAACAAAAGCTGTACACATGATATACTGCCTTAAATGCCCCAGGATACTTTGGCTGCTGTATTTACTCCAAAGCTGCCTAAATATGTGAAACATGCAGTAATGAAAAAACACTGTGCTGGGCTGAAGCTGATTTCTCTTCTAAATCTGCACTATTATATTAATACATGCAGGCAGATAGTTTATCACCATGCTAAAAACAATGAAGCAATGCTTTACAGTCAAGAGGAAAAAACTCTTTATGTTTATTAGCCATGAATTTCACATTGTGAAAAAATCACATGTACAAAATAATGCCATAAAAACAGAAATGAAAACTCTTACATTACATAAAATGAAACTGATGCACACTGACAGTGTTTTCTGTCTAATTTACATCATTATGAGAAGCAGTACACGGTGCCCCACTCTGCGCCAGCTGAATTTCCAGATGCAAGAGAAAATAAGAGGAGGCCAAGAGTAGAAATGGGAAATGCCACTCAGCAATTAGGTGCAAATTGAAGGGGCATTCATTACTTGCTGTTGCCAGGGGAGACTTGTGTTCTATGGGGAAGAAACACTCTTATCTGATTGGTGAGGCCAGAGGCTCTGTGCTCAGTGGTTGGAGGAGGTCAAGCTTATGGAGCCACAAGGGTCTCCACAGAAGTCCTGAAATGGCCAATAAAAGGATGAACTTCTGGGTGGCTCCAGGAGCTGAGCATGCAGATTTGATCTGATTCATGAATGCGCACGGAAGAACTTTTTAAGAAAATACATACATATTCCACCAAAACATTTCCTCTTACATTGAAATTCAACGAGGCCATTAATATTCAATTGTAAAATGTCAATGTTCAGGTTACCTAGACAAGACATACAGACAAAAACACAGATTAGAGTTACCAAGTATTTAAAATGCTAGTGATTAAGACATTCTCTCTTTTTGGTCTTTAGGAACTTGCAGTGTTTTTTTTTTAATGTGCATCAATGACACTATGATAAAAAGCACTGCGGTGTCTGCCCTTATCAGTGCACAGCTTCCTGGATTTAACTCTTTTTCACCTAATGTTGAAGTGGACTGTGGGTTAACACCATGAGGAGCCAAGTTAGCACATGTGAAGTCCTCCAGCTGTCCCAAGGACAGCTGCAAAGACAGTCGCATTCTTAAGCATGTCAGGGTCACCCTGTGACATCGCTGATAGTGGCTGGTCACACACTGCCCCATTCCACCAGCTTATCTGTTTTATGGTTCATAACTTCATGTTTTGTTGATAACAGGTTGATTTGAGGTGTGTCTGGAGCCTGGTTGGATCTTACAGAGAATCTAAAATGAATATTTCATTCTTTTCACCCCATTCAAGCTTCCTTTTTGGGTGTCGACACAGTGGCCTAAAATGCTTCATGTCATCAGTAACCTGAGCCCTTTTTCCTCTTCATCCATACTCTGACAACTGAAAACCCTGGGAAAGGTTCTCCTCTGTCTTTTTTAGAAGAACTGTATAAAATGCAGTCCTACTGAGACCAGATTAAACACAACACCTGGCCTGGCATGCATGACGTAACCCAAAACATACATTTGCATATGAATGCAGGCAGAGAAGAAATAAATAGGATTTAACATATTAACATAACTGAGTAATCATTGTCATATAAATTAAGACTACATTGCAGCAAGTTTAAAAAGACACTGACTAATTCTCAGTTTAGGTTAAGGTGACAAGATTTCTGTGACCACAGAGAGGAGTTCATGCCAGTTTTACTGAATCACTATGAGTGGACATGCTCTAAAAAGACTTTAGCTATGACTCACCAAGCGAGCTGCTGCTTAATCAGAATAAAAGAAGCACAGCTGGTCTTTTACAGCATTAAGTGTACGGCTGAATGTGACAGCATTTTTTCTGAAGCGCTAAATCCAAACATTGCCCCTGTGCGCCATTAACCAACACTCAGCAGGCGTTAATCTGTAGCTGCAAAACAGAAAACACGTAAGGTGGTGACCCTGAGGCACCTTGACCCCTGTGGCCACGTAGGCATGCCCTCCGTCCCCCTCAACCTCAGCTGGTGTTACTCATCAACACCTTGTGGTTTGCACTGACAGCAACCTGCCAAAGCCTTCATAGGAGGAACACTCAAAGGTTTGTTTCTGTGTTAGACCGGTTAGAAAAAGATAAATGGGGCCAAACAAAAGAGCTTAGCAGAAAGCAGAAGGGGGAGATTTGCTCCTTCATTGTGCCTTTTAAAAAAATCAGCTGTTTTCAGTCGAACTAAGTTGCTTTGCTGTTTTTTAGCACACCAATCATTACATTCTCCCTCCCTCAATGTAAATAGAACATCCATCATGCTATGCATTGCTGTCTCCTTGAAAGGAGAACTTTTTTCTTCTTTTTTTATCATGTGAAAAAACATCAATACAGATCTTCACAAGCCTGTCCTGACTAAATAAGGAAAATGCAGGTTGTGTGATATGTTTGCAGTCCTCGTATGGCATGGTGGAAGCCTGGTGTGTCTCATGTACACAGGGTTGGAGGTCGTACCTCAACAAGCAGCAGTTTTGTTTGGTTTGAGTGAGCTACTGTGCTGTGTGTCTCTGCTTCCTCCTCAGAAACTCGAAATGGCATCATTCCAGTAAAATGTCCAGCCGTATGTGTCTTCTGCTTCTTTGCAACATCAAAATGAAGGCGGGTGTCTGTACATCACTGCTCAGTGTCTCTTTCAGAGGAAGAGAATGTGTGCTTGCTTCTTCACAGTTGGAGTCCAGTAGACGATGCAAAACAGGGAAATCTGAGAAAGAGAAAGAATAACATGTTAAACAGATGATAAGATGTATGAAGATGTCAAACAAACTGCTTAACAGTTTAAAGGTGATTTTTAAAACTTATTCAATTAATTCAAATACAAAAAAAGTCTAAAAGGTGTGTGTGTGTGTGGGGGGGGGGTACAGAGGATGGCTGATTATTAATACATTCCATTGTAATCAATCAATTGAACTCTTTTGTTCGTCTATGTGTTAGCCCTGCGATGGATTGGCGACCTGTCCAGGGTGTACCCCGCCTTCGCCCGATTGCCGGCCGGGATTGGCTCCGGCCCCACCCGTGACCCCGTTCAGGGACTAAGCGGTAGAAAATGAATGAATGAATGAATGTATTGGATTGCATTTTTTTAAAAACTTTCTATGATATATACATTGGTAAATTACAAACTGCAGTTTCAATAACACCACAGAAATTAAAGGACACCTCATACTGGGCCACTATATTACATCACATTTTACAGGTATTATTAATGTGCCCACTCCATATCTCCTGCTAGACTAATAGATTTGATAAATCCACCTACTCTGTTTTCTCAGTACAGTCTGGCCTTGGTCCAGCTTCTTATCTCTCCCACAGCCTATTACACTTTTCATATCTGAGTGTGTTTTACTCTTAGAATTTCATTCTGACCTTTCCATTTTTGGAGCTTTTACTTAATATGGACTTATCTGGCATAGATGGTTACAGGCCTGTCAGCCTTCTATGCCTCTGCTGTGAAAGTAATAATATCAGCTGCAGTATCTCTGGTTGGAGGTGCTGTCGGTGCTGGAGAACATACTGTACATGTGACTAAATAAATCCTGGAAGCCACTTCTACCCAGTATCACTTTAGCCAGGTGAGAAATGTCTTGTTGCTGGTGAAGCCTCAGTTTACAGTGGTTGTCTCTTTTCCAAAAAACGTGTAAGCACTAGATTCCATTTTTTTTAATCTTAGCATTCATTTGATGGAATAGTTTTACATCTTAGGATAAACATCTTATTTCTTGCCAAGAGCTGGATGAGAAGATTGATGCCACTGTCATGTCTATTTATTGTTGTGGTGCTAAATTCATTTATTTCAAGTTCTTATCCTTGGATTATCTGGCAAACGTCAGGCGATACATGAGTATGGTGTTATGTTCTTATGGAGCTTGGCCTTAAAGATGAATTTGAGTTTTCTAGCTGGGTGAAGTGAATAATGCACTTATATTGTGTGGTTATCAGTTTTAAGTATTTGAAATTACTAGCTGAAATTCCTGAGGAAGTCCATCCAAATAATATTTTTATTTGATTCTGTCATTACTGTTTGTCCATTCTAAAGGTTTGCGAGGAAAACACCTATAAAGGAGTCTTCTGAGACAAGTTAGAATAGTTTCCCTGGGAAAAAGTGAGAGAACTTCTTTTCGCTCACAGCTACAACCTCCTTTTGTGAGGTCTAACATCTTCCCTTTCATTCCTAAACCTTCTTTGCTATTCCTCCACATTTTTTCTTTTCACAACGTTCAGCAGTCCGTCAGCTGCCATGATTGGCAGGCACACAAAGAACTAATTCTGTATTTAGTAAGTGGCAGGATTATATCCTTCACTGAGCACTATGTTGTACTAGTTTAGATATAGTCCAGACCTTCAGTAAAGTCTCTCCTTTTAGAGATGAGTCAGTGAAAAAGAAAGGAATAATAAGTCTTGAAAAATATTTCATTCTGTAGGGAGGAGGAACATCACAGGTTTGCAGCAGTGAAGCTGCCTTGAGCTGCTTCCTGGCATTATCAAATGGGAGACCATGCTGTGCTGGACAGCGAGAGAGAGACTCCATTTCTCCTTCTTGTCAGGACGCCAGCCTGGCAAATTCCCCAAAACAAAAGGACTGCCTGCATGGATATGTGTGTGGGTATCAGTGGTAGGGTGCACGGTTTGTGTGATGCGATGTGATATGATTGTGACCTCACGGCCTACGGGACACTGAAAGATCAGGTTTGCCAGCTGACTAGCCATGCTTCACCTACGTCTGGGCTGTTTATCATCAGAGCAGGGGAACAGTGTTAGAATGAGGCCAAGAAGACATAGATGGAGACCGTCAAGTTCAACGGTCAATTTTCAGAGTGAGACCAACACTATGAGGAATGATGTGTGTCTCAGGGGGCTAGGCCGAGAGGGCTGCCGCTGTCTAGCCCTGCAACTCTCCCTTCTCTTTTTACCTGCTGCCACTATTAGTCACCTTTATTTCACACTGATGATGAACGGTTTTTGACACTGTGTGAGTCGCCAGCTGCCTCCATCTCACCCAGCGTAAAGATCATAACCTCATCAAAGGAAGGTGGCTGAGCGTGGATTAGCCTCGCCAGGGTGTTGCTGCCTGCTGGTGTGTGACTTGTCTAATTGACAGACCCCCTTTTCCCTCTTGGAGAGATTTCCCCCACAGGAGCAATAGAAGTATCCCATTCTCTTTCAATTACCCTCTCTGTCCTTCCACCCATCCCCACAGCTACATAACTCACTTAACTAACGCACACAAGCCCCTATCAATTCCCCCCTGGTTCGCCATCCCCCTGTCTAAATCTTTCAATCTTCCTCGTCTCTTCTACTGAGGAGAATCTGTTTATTCTCTCAGTATCTCTCTTATCCTGAAAACACAATATTAGGTATCACAGATTGTCAGTAGGCAGCATGTGTGTTAGCTATTCATTTACCATTATTTTTCTTGATTCATGTTTAGATTCTTCTTGTTGTACATTAATTCATAGTGAAATAATAGTATTGGGTGTCTGCTTAAAAAATCTTATATTGATCGGATTCCAATTCATATGGAAACAAATAAATGAATAAAAATATATAAAAAAAAGCAACTAAATATCACTGTTTTACCGATGGTTTGATACGGCGCATCTGTGCAACTCATGATAGACAATTTTTAGAAGCTGACCAATATTGATGCAGCAGAACCATCCCGGTCCCATGCAGCCTTCTTCCTGTCAAAATCAAGTCTACTTTACCTACAATGCCACTAAACCACAAATAGTTTAATCAGAGATTCATCTGGAAGGTTCACTTCTTTCCAGCTCCACATCCACAGTTTTACTTTTTAAAATTTGTAGTCTTTAGCCCCAAACAAAGGGCTAAAAACCCATAAACACACTTTGATGCGTGAAATTGGTGTATTTCCCTTTTTTAGACATACATCCACAGTTTTACTTTTTGAAATTTGCCCCAAACAAAGGGCTAAAGACCCATAAACACACTTTGATGCGTCAAATTGGTGTATTTCCCTTTTTTAGACAAACAAAGAAAAGTTTAACTTACCTCATGGAAAAGATGTATACTGGGGGTCTGGGGCTCAAGCAGGCAGATGTTTCCAGGTGCTGACAAAAGCAGTGGGAATGAGCGAGTATGGCACAGTAGTGATGCTGTTCCAAGCATCCAGTGTGGGGTCATAGCAGTCCAGAGTTTTACACCGCTGTGTGCCAAAGTATCCACCCACCACATAGAGTTTGTTACCAGATGCTACAGCCTGGCAGCTCATCCGCTTGGCTGTCACATCGCCCACTTTTGTCCACTGATAATTCTCACTGCTGAACTTATAAGCTGAGCATGCTGAGAACTCTGTATCCCCACCCATTACAAAGATCTGGTTTCCCAGCACAGCAGCAGCAGTGTAGCGCCATGGCTGTGGGCAGGATGCGGGCACAGTCCATCGATTCTCCTGTGGATCGTAGCACTGCACCTTGGGCAGCTTGTCATGGGTGACACTGGTTCCTCCAAAGGCAAACAGCTTGAGCTTGACACTGACCACTGCTGCATTGCTCACACCTTCTCTCAAAGGAGCCACCATGGTCCACTTGTTTGCCACTGGGTCAAACTGCTCCACCTGTTTGAGTGACACTGATGGAGAAGCTGGGAGGCAGCCAGTTGCTGCGGTGTGACCTCCTACCACATAGAGGCAGTGTTTCAGCTCTGTAGAGCCGTGGCCAAACCTGGCGATGAGCATGGGAGCTGCTTTGGACCATTCCTCATGGATGGTGTCATAGACCCACACATCTTTGGACACACCGTTCTCTGAGCCTCTCCCTCCAGTGATGTACACCTTACACCCGATGGCGCAGGCGCTAAATTCCTTCCTGGGGCTGGGGATATCAGCCTTGGGGATGATCTCTTTGGCCTTCTGATCTACCAGGTACAACTTGTCACACATGAAGGTTTGCCCTCCCAGAAGAAAAAGGGCATGACTGGTTTTTCTTGGTCGAGCACATGGGCTGTTAACAACACCATCATTCTGCAGGATCTTCAGCTTACAGCGGATAGCTTCATCCACCAGCTCCTTGCTCTTGGCCTGGGCATTGATCAGCTCTTCTGTCGAGACATTCTCCATCAGAAAGATGGCAGGCAGTAGAGCCAGGCGGACTGTTCGCAGGAGCTCTGGAAGGTGGCAGTGCCTCCTTTCCAAGTCATAGTTGATCCAGTTAAGGGCAGCTTCATAAACCAGTTTCTCATCTTCTGTCTCAAGCTCCTCATGTGACAAAAGCTGCACCACCATATCTTTGGGCAGTTGGAGGAAGTCGTCAGTCTTGCAAATAGCAGGGAAGTTGCTGAGGCACATGCCCCAGGAGAGCTCTGACAGCTTGGTACACTGGTGGGCGTCGGACAGCAGCAACATGCCAAGACAATTAGATGGGTGAAGGTTCCTCTCCAGGAATTCGGCGCAGGCATCTCGAATGTCCTGAAACTCCAACATGTCGCCAGCCTCCAGTAATGACTCTGCATTTTCCTCGTTGATGACCACACGTGAGGAGTAGGCATAATCCAGCAGGAGCTCTAAAACCTCTGGGTGGATGGAGTCATGGAAGTCGACCTCACTGGCCTGGCTCTCCCTCAGCCCACCACTGAACATGGCCTCGAAATAGCGACTGCAGGCAGCCAGCACAGCACGATGGCAGGGGAAGGAGCGGCTACCAGCGTGAAGTAGGACATCTGTGAAAAGCCTTTGCTGCCGTAGCGAGTTGAGGTGCATCAGGACACTGTCAGCATAAGAGGACTTGTGGAACAGGTAGATGTTCATAGAGCCAGTACTGGCTCGTGATTTTCGGTTCTCATGGACGCACACGGACATTTTCATTGAATCCTGAAAGAATAAAGATGAAAAAAAATCTCTTTTGAATGCAATTCATGTTTTAAGTTGATTTTTTTTTTCAGCCTGCACCGTTAAAACTCTTTGTTCACAGTTGCTACCCTCTTAACGCTAAGACATTCCGGAGAGGTATTCTTGATGTCACTCAAACTCAAGGCAGTCTAACAAACAGCCACATTCAATCTCAACATCCACTATCCATCTTTCAAGTCATTCTTTTGCCACTGATTAGCCCAGCAACATATGTGCACAATAGACAATATCATGTATATCATGTATACAACAAAAGGATATGTATTCTCACTGGATATTCAACAGACGTGTGCACCCCTGTTGTCTGTGGTTCCAAATGGCAAGAAAGAGTAGTTTTTTTTTCTACATCTTTTTAATATATTTCTATTCATTTTCCAGTAGCCTCAGACAGTGCATGTAGCAATTTTCATCATTTTTAATCATGTCTAATTTTAACTAAAATTAAATTAAATCCTCACTGTGATGTCAGTGCTGAAATATTACACTCTTCAGCCCTAATGCCCATAATATGATCAGTGAGGTGCAGTTTTTGGAGAGACTATTGCAGTCATTCCCATGAGACAGAAAGACATTTAGCAAGAGACTCGTGATTACAAGTTGCAAAACAGCATACGTATGGGAGTTAGGATGTCAAATAGACATGAAGTGTTTTTTCCTGCAGACAACAGAAACTTCAACTTTCAGCTCCAAGCAGATCTAATCCTCTTCTTTTAGAGACACCATGCTTTGCAAGTAAATGTCCCTTTGTGGAGATCTTTAAGAAAAGAGGAGTGAAAGAGACAGCAGGACTCTTTTAAGCCTCTGAGCAATGCACAGAATTTACTCCACTCCCCTTCCAGAGAGTCACAGCTCCCATCCTCACTGTCCTCAATCAGAGCTCACTTTCTTTCCATGCAATTTCTAGACATGTTAAGTGCCTCCTGCACTCTATTTTCAAAGCTTCAGAGTCCTTTATGACCTAGTGAATCTGACAGCTCACAGATCTTTTGACCAGATATTTTAGGTTCTCAGCCTGTTCCTGAGACTGTAGGTCTCTGAAAATAATTTAGCTATGATAGAAGATTGACCTCCATTGAATTCCATTAACACCCATGATTTTTTTTCTAAAAGCTCCTGCAGCATAATCTACTCCTCCACTGTCCATTTATATGGCCAGGACATTACAGACCTGTAGATCTTCGTAGCTTTCACAGATATTGTGTATTGAACTATGAATGTTTTGATGCTATTTTTTCCACACTGAAAGCGTATCACAACTGTAGTCCATTGTGACTGACTGAGGTCACATTGTTTGACCACATTGTTTTTGGTTGGTGAGAAAATGTTTTGCTGACCTCCAAGTGACGAGTGTTTTGTATTCAAAAGAAAGATTTTGGCTTCAAGACTAAGAGAGCTCAGACATTCCCAGGTGTTTTAAATGATTCCTCCAATGCAAAGAGGAGAGGGAGGTTTCCACTTTCCTCAGGTTGCATCATCTGCTCCAAAATGTTTATAATGCCGTCTCATGAATAGTATATTAAGTGTGAACCCTGCAGACTTCCTGGTAAGCAGTGTCACTCACACCTATAGGCTTTCAACAGAACTGTGCTGTTCCTTGTCATAGATTCCAAGAACATGATTAAATTCCAGTTAAACTAACTTCCCAAACCAACTGCTCTGAGTTTTTACTTTGAAAAACCCCAACACCCGGGTTGACAGTGTCAGTGCTGCTGTCACTGAGGATAAAAGAGCCTGCAGCATGTGTTAGCATAATGCAGTTGCATTGGATTCCAGCTTAAGCTTTTAAAACGGAAGCCAAGGCTGTGAAGCTGAATGAGAAAGACTGCTCTATAAAAGAACTCCGTACATTTGTTTTCAAGTGATATGTGCCTGTCAGCCAAAATAATGGCTTAAAAGGAAGAGTCTGACACTGGGAGAAACATGTTTATTTGCTGTCTTGCCAGGAGTTAGATGAGAGGATCGATAGCGTTCTCATTTATGCACACTAAATATGAAGCTAGAGCTTTAGCAGCTGGTTAGCCTAGCTTAGCACTGGGGAACTGCTAGTGGCTAAAGATAACAAATCCCACCTGCCACCACCTCTAAAGCTCACAAATTAATCACCACTGTTACCTTTGGACAGAGTCGCACTTTATCTAGCTTTCCAAATCATATGTGATAATAATAATAAGAGGAAAATGTTTTTTATCACACCTTGATAAAATGCTAAACCAACTCCAATCTTGGTTGAACAGGATTTATTACATTTCAGCACTGGCAAAACTGTCATCGCCTGGCCTCTGGCTCAGCTATAATGAGACTATCCTGCCCTACTCTCTTACCTGTGCATGTCATATCCTACACACACACACACACATGCAACTTATCCTGCAGCTCAATGTTTCAAATTGGAATTTGTTAGAGGGTTGATTTAAATAACTGGTCTAACAAATGGAGCTAACAAATGAGGCACTAAATTAGAGAGGTTTTGTATCGACTAATAATTGGCATGTTCCTGAATATCATCTTCTGTTGTCCATGTCTGAGGCGCCGCAGCTGACAGATAAACATGTTGATTAGTCCAAGAGAAACTTGAAATGATTTTTTTTTTTTAAATCAACGGTTGTGATTGTGATGGTTTTCTGCTCATACTGATAATAGGATAATATAATCACTAAAAATATCATAAACTGTTCTGCATGACTAAAGGCAGAACTGAAGCCATGATAAGAGTTGTCTTATCTTGAAAATGGCAAAGCAGGACTTGGTCTTGTTTTCAGAAATGTTTTGGTTTCTAGTCCAAATAAGACTTTGAGTCAAGAATTTCAAATTGCATTAAATTCTTTTTGAACTCGTAATAGCATCGGCTCATCTCCTGAACATAAAATTGCTGGCAGGAATTGTTTGTATAATTGCTTGTATAGGTTTGCATTAAAATTAACCATGTTTTAAATGGATGCATGTGCTCAGTCATACATACAGTGAGCGTAAGTGCAGCTGAACAAAGAGAAGAGCAGTGAACCAGATACCTATTCTATTTGCGTATTAAAGGATAAAGCCAGGATTACCAACCATCCTCGCAGGTCCTGAACATCCTGTATTTGTAATTTAAATGAGAATTCGTCCTTTGCTACAAATTTGCTTGTTCCTACAGAATCTAATAAGAAGGAATGATTTTTTTTTATTACATGAATTCTTGTAAATGTTATCCTCCAGTTTATGACAGAAGGTATGTTAAGATATTTATTGTAAACCATGTAAACACAGGAAACTGAGGAAATCAGATTATTCCAACCCATATAACCATATAAATCTATTATTGTAAGCTGGTTGTTCACAGTAAACAGAGAATATACACACGCTGAGTGCAACAAGTCGCTGTGAAATTCCAGACAACTGTCTGACATAAACACCAACTTCACAGCATACTGAAGATTATGAGGATATTTTTTAGACCACCAAAAAATCTTTTAAAGGTCAAGATAACCTTTGGCAATTAAGAATATTGATGGTCAGTCGTATTTGTGGATTTTATAGCTACATCTTCACCGCAAACTGGAATTATGACAATGTTTACACGGCAGAGTTCAGCTGTTGACTTCACTGTGATAATGTGGCTGTTATGTCTTTGGCTTTGTAACCTTATATAGCCGCCTTGAATTCTGCTTTTGATAGTTCTGTGCGTGTTGTAGCCGAGAAGGTTTAACATAACTGTTTATATAACAACCTGAAGGGTATTTGACTATTCACTGAAAGCGTGAAAGAAAAACAGACAGGAAAAAAAAAATTCTTTCAGCACAAAACAAGTAGCTGAAACATTAACAAAAATAATCAGTGATTCATTGTTTCACTCCCTTTTCAGATAAATAGGGAGAGAGGAAATGCTTTGGTTTCTCAGGTGCCACATAAAACAAGCAGAGACTTTTTAGTACGTTTCTATACTAAATGATTTATCAGTGATGCATGAATAATACTCCTGTCAGGTTAATCATTGTTAACATCACTGATAGTTTCCACCCTACAACCAACCACTAGTACTGATAACTATGAACCATCAGTATTATTATTCTAACTTGTCCTTAGTCTCTGATGGATTTCACATCCTGTTTTCTGCTACAGTGCCAACATTCACACCAACGTGCCCGAGAGGAAGGAACGATGCCAAGCAGTGTGAGTGTGTGTGCTTGGCTGGATTGCTGCGAGACCTGTCATCCTCATCCCCTCACAGAAAACAGAGCCAGAGAGTGCATGCTACACGCCATACTCACAAAGCATACAGTAAAGAAAAAAGGTCGTGCACACGCAGCCTCTGGACTCGATCTGAGGCCTGGCTGGCTGCAGTCTGTTTAAAATCATTGCCAGGTGTTCACAGTCAACCATACACTCAGGAAGAGGGATGGGAGGAAGAGGTTTCAAAAGTAAACACCAGGCTTATATGGGCCACGTCTATTCACCTCCACTCGGAAAATATGAAACAAGATGCAAAACAATAGGACAGACCATCAGCCGCCGATCTGCAGGTCTGCATCAGTCTTCATCTGGAGCAAATCTAACATAGAGACCCACTGTCTGTCTGCACACACAGACACACGTAAAGTCTGTTTAACTCAAAGCCCTGCTACTAAACCATCCAATTCTAATACCAAGGGGGGCATGTCACACCTGGTGTTGCCTTTAAAACATGTTAAAACATCTTGAGCATGCATGAGTATGCAGGAAGACGATGGTGAAGTCCCGAAACGCAAAAGACTGGGAGGAGATCTGTGGCTTATTTCATGAGATACTATAATCAATGTACTCAGTAAGTCTTTTGTCCATTCTGCTGCGCTTTCTCTGCCACAGCCTGGAGTTTTCTATCATCAGGTGATCAGAAAGGGATGCAGCGGTTGTTACAATATAACAATCAGATGATACGCTGTAAATGGCTATAGAGATGTGAGTTGTTAAATGTACCTCTTTGGGTGAAAGCAGGAGTTCAATTGTGCCTGCAGTATCCCTCGAACATGCCACTTCTGAAAGAGCCACGATGCAAGCTTTGCGCTCGGGGAGTGTGAGAACTCCTCGGTTATTTCCGAAATGCAGGCGGATACTCGGTCAGGATGAGGCCGCTGTCCACCACTGCACTGTCGTCTGCAACTCCCCGAAGTAATAAGTCTATATGTATTACGACCCCGCAGAAAAATAAACGGGGTTTAATGCAAAGGATGAGCCGAGACGTTTGGAGACGATACTCCAGCGCCGCTGCCCTGCTCCTTTGTGACGCTCCTGTCTTGCGCTTCCAGTCTTCTCTCGCTGAATTCAATGGGTGTGTTTACAATGAGAGGGGGAGGACCGTCGTTTCGTGCACGAAATGGAGTGTGAGAGAGGGGGAGGATGTGGGGAAAAAAGATGTGGAGGAGAGTTAAGTCTCCTTTCCTCTACACACAAACACATCAGCATTTGATGTGGACTCTTTAGGGTGAAGTGAAGATCATCCTTAAAGTCTGACCAGCTTTTAGTCACAGTCAACTTCTCCTCAGTTTGAGGTCCCGTGTCCAGACCTCTGTGAAGCACTGCACCAAAGGTGAACCAGTGGAACTAACAATCTAATGTGCATTTATATGAGGTTGTAGAGCCGTGTTGCTGCTCTTTTAAGTAAATGATCTGAATAGTTTTTAGGTCGCTGAGGAAAGACAGTGAACATCATCTCATAGCTCATGTGTGTAGATGTTAAGTCTAGATTACATCATGGTAATATGACAAATTGATAAAAGTGTGTGTGTAGCCCACTTCTGTCATGTCACTGTAATAGCTGACTGTGTACACAGCATTTTTCTGAAATCAGTTTTATAATATACACTAAAATTCTGGTACAGTGTTTTATTGTCAATGTAAGCTGTGCAACTTCTTGTAGATTTTAAATCAACAAATGGGAGGTACCCACTGCTGGTGTACAGGAGCCGTGGGTTACACTTCTAGTCCAAACTTTCCATTTGACAAAACTAAGCAATGATCAAGACATAAAGCAAAGAACTGACTGTTGTTTATGTGGAGTCACAATTTGGGGGACAACAATAGCCTACTTATATTTCAAAAGCAATAGCATATAGGAATTGCCACATAGTCTGAGTCAAACCCAACACCGAATGCCGCAGGGACCATTTTAAATCCTATAAGATTATAAAGACATTGTGGTTTTGGTTGGGGGAGCTGGGAACAGGAAGTCCAGTTTTATTCCTAAGCATCTTGTGTGAGTCATATCTGTGGTCCTGGTTGACGGCACTCCTGGCTGTGACTAAACACCCCAGTGGACCCTTGCAACAGCAACGTTGTGTTTGTTTCTATTTGTGGCGATCACAGGACTACTCACAGCCAGTTTCATTTCCCATTAATTATTATAACAAAGACACAATATCCTGATGACTGTAGCTCCATACTGAGGATAACTGAACGCACTGTTCCTTATTGTCTGTACAGCTGTTAAGAAAAACTCATGGCAGCAAAAGCTTCATATATAAGACGTGAGAGACACCTAGTGGATGTTATACTGTAGTTCTGAGTGAAGCCTAAATACTGATGGAGTTATGAGCAAGAAAAGACAAAATAATTCAATTAATGTCAGTGCAATAATGATAAACGTTGCAAAATAAACCTTTTTGTAGAAATTCTGAAAATGTAAATACTGCACAGAGCTCAGACAGGAGAGTTTGTAGAGTCTCCTAATGTGAACAAAATGTTATATTACAAACTTCCACACTACCATCCTATGTGCATTTCTTTTTCTTTCATATTGTTATATGACTATTTATGCATTGGGTTGATGCAGGTTCTTATTATCAAAGTTATGGTGGTGTGTGTGTTATGTGATTTGTCATGTTGTGAGAGAAATAAACTAATATGCTGGAACTGTTCACAAAAAATATTTAAAATCAAAACAGAAGTTATCAAAAAGCAGTGTTATTACATCAAATAAGGAAATACTTGTGTGTTAAATGAGCATAAACAAATACATCATCCTTTTGTTCATTCACACACCAAATAATACTCGTAGTGATGGGATCACTTAACTCCATGTTATAACACAAACAACCAAATCCAAACAAACTGTGTAAAAGCTACTGCCAGCACAGAAATACAGTACCTATAAAAAGTATTGACCCCCTTGGACCCTTTTATTGATTTTATAAATCAATCATGGTCAATATAATTTGGCTTTGTGAACAAAAACATTACAAAAAACAAAACTTAATGTCAAAGTGAAAACAGGTTTCTACAAAGTAATGTCAATTAAAAATGTTATGACATTTCCAAGGAGTCAGGTTAGGTGGTGGCCAAGTCTCTCATATCTCAGCCTGTTACCACCTTCACACTGGAGCTAATGTTGATCAGCCAGGACTGAGGAAAAAATCAACAAAGTTCTAAAGGCTGAGTCATATTTTTGTGTACAAGTAGTTTTTTTAGTTGATCGAGTGTTTCCATTTTATACTACTTTCTGCATCAATACTTATAAGTATATTGTACTTTTTTTACGCCGCTACATTTATTTCCCATCTATAGTTACTGTGCAAATAAAGTGTTTACATGCAAAATGAGCTGATCAAATACGAAGAATGGAACTAAATGAAACAACGCACTAGTAAATAAATGTATGTTAAACAATGTGGGACTAGGTTGGCGGAACCTTTGACGGACTGTTGTTCCCTGTTCCTCCAGTAACCGTACTCATTTCCTGTTTTCTGTGCCCGCACCGCGTTGTGCTTTCTTCCAGATTGTTTACGAATTAAACTCACTATTTTTTTGAGTAACAACATACGCTTGCACCACTTAAGCACCCGTGTTGCAGGAGCAAACTCAAAAGGTTTGAGTGTATTTTTTATCAAAGTAGGTCTAGTCCACACCTCCAAACTCATTTCCTTAACAAAACTCCAGGTATGCTAACAGAGTCCAATTAGCTTTTTTTGAGGTCATTAACTCAAGGGTAGTTTTTCCACTAGCACTATGGGGTTTTTATGGTTGTTCTCAATAAAGACATGAAAGATCACATTTTTTTTGTTATTATTATTTTAGGCACATGATATTTGTTAATACTCTTGACTTAGATGAAGATCAGATCACATTTTATGACAAATTAATGCAGAAAACCATGAAATTCCAAAAGGTTTGCATACTTTTTCTTGCCACTGTATATGTGTATCTATATCCTACAGAGAGTCTGGAATGACTGGGACACTACTCTCACTCTACTGTCACTTTGTTGGACTAAACTATTTTTATTATCTTGTCTTACTTGTAGCACCAAGATTCCACTTATTGAAAAATTATCCTTAAGTACAGTATGCTATGTTACTGTGTTCCCATTCTTTTGGCAATATACTTCTGACAGTATAGCATCTTGTCCTGACTTTTGTAGAAACAGACAGAACAGAGACAGAGCACACCAGCAGATCAAATCAAATCAAATCAAATTTTATTTGTATAGCGCCAAATCACAACAAAAGTCATCTCAGGACACTTTACAAAGTAAGGTCTAGACCTTACTGTTATCAATATTATTACATAGGGAAAACCCAACAAATCCCCCTTGAGCAAGCACTTGGCGACAGTGGGGAGGAAAAACTCCCGTTAACGGAAGAAACCTCCGACAGACCCCGGCTCTTGGTGGGCGGCCTTCTGCCTCGACCGGTTGGGGTGAGTGGATAGAGGAGAGACAAAAGAAGAAAAGCAACAAGACACAACAATCAAACACTGATCAGGTCGATGTGGCCGGTGACTGCTCGTCAGAGACATAGAGCTCCAGGGCCAGGGCAACCTGCAGAAAGGTACAGGGAGAGAGAGAGAGGACACACTACGGGAGAAAGGAGACACAAAGTTAGTAATGTGTAATAGTGGCAAGCTACCCCCAGCAGCCTAGGCCTATAGCAGCATAACTAAGGGAAGGCTCAAACAGGAACGTCTTAAGTCTAATCTTAAAGGTAGAGAGGGTGTCCGCCTCCTGAACTGAGACTGGGAGTTGGTTCCATAGGAGAGATGCTTGATAGCTAAAGGCTCTGCCTCCCATTCTGCTTCTGTGGACTCTAGGAACCACAAGTAAACCTGCACTCTGAGAGTGAAGTGCTCTGTTAGGATGATAAGGCTCTACGAGGTCTTTATGATACAATGGAGCCTTGTTATTAAGGGCTTTGTATGTTAGGAGAAGGATTTTGAATTCTATTCTGAATTTTACAGGGAGCCAGTGGAGAGAAGCTAATATGGGAGAGATATGATCTCTCTTGCTAGTTCCTGTCAGTACTCTGGCTGCAGCATTTTGGATTAACTGGAGGCTTTTTAGGGAATTATTGGGACATCCTGATAGTAAAGAGTTACAGTAGTCCAGCCTGGAAGTAACAAATGCATGGACCAGTTTTTCAGCATCACTTTGAGACAGGATGCTCCTGATGTGAGAAGTAAAAAAAATAAATCATGAATGAATCGTAATATCACATGTTCAACTGCTGCTCCCTACTGGAAATTAAAAAGATGATCTAAAATGGATGAAGTCTCCCATTCAGTTGTATTTTGGCAGATTATAATCAGATTAATTATTAATAAGATTAATGAGCCCACAAACAACAGCTTTAATCAAGCCTCTAAGTGAAAGAGGATGATAATTGTTTATTAAATAGATGAGTGTTTGACAATTTCATGATCTGTGAAACAAAGTTTTCTCATCTCAGTTATCTGGTGACAACAATGAGCCAAATCTAAACATGTTGATTCTTCTTACACATCTGGCAGTGCATCTGCTGCTGAAGTAGTTAGTTGCTTTAGCTCAGAACAGGCTAGAAATGAATCCCAGATGTGGGGAGTGAACAGATGTGGTCCCTCTGAGGTTAAACTGGTCCACTTGCTGTCAGGGCTGATGATTACAAGGCTGAATCAAGTCACCAAGGTTCAAAACTCACTGAACTAATTTGGTCACATACTGCATACCCATCACTTGCATCATCAGGTTTCACTGAAATAAACAAGCTAAATGATCTCAACACTATCCAGAACTGAATTGTTTTGACTGTCACAGGTGCTGATTTGGTTGTTCACTCTTCCAAAAATGAATCCAATTCTTTCAGAGAACAAAGCTAAAAGTTTAGTTTTCTCTGGTGTTGTGTTCTGACATAATTAATTTAGATTATAACTCCCAGTGACTGACAGCATTACACAGTGCATGTGAACAGAATCAGACCAGAGGTATCATGTCTAAGCAGTTCCTCTGAGCAGCAGGTAGACAGCACAGATAGTGAGGGCGGTTGCAGTGTAGGTAAATACAGCATTATAAAGTGTATTCGCCCTGATTTGTTCTCCCACTGTCCTCTGGCTCTCCTCCAGATGCCTCACCACCACCTCAGATTCCCAGTCTCCTCCTTCTGGTTTTGCTGACTCCAGCTGACCAGTCTGTGTTCCAGCCTTCGGTCTGGTTTTCAGCAGCCTCCTAACCATCAACAATCCACTCTCAACTCTACCGAGTCCTTGCTCCAGCTGTCCCAGTTGTGGCGGGAGGGACTCCAGGAGGGACTCAGTCTTTTGTCGGCTGATGTGGAGGTCTTTTAAGGCTGAAAGAGGCACAGTGAGTGAGTCTGCGGTTGGACCTCCCTTGTCCTGAAGAGTGCCACCCCTCTGTGTGAAGACATCGCTCAGAGTGAACCTGAGGCTGTCGATGAGTGTTCGGAGCTCATCCTGCTGGGAGCGATGGTTCCCAGCCTGGACTATGAGGGCTTCCTGCAGGCTCTCTGGGCCTTTCTGGGCCTCCAGCAGTAGACTCTTTAGCTCCTACAGGTGAGAGAAGTGAAGATGTGTCAGCTGGAACAAGGATCAATGCACAATTGTTGAGTGATGATGCAAATAAAATATACAGTACAGCACAAGAAACAAAGCCAACTTCATATAGAAAACCTTCACTTTAAGGCTTGTGATTTGTAGGAAAAGACAGTTTACAGCCCTGCTATAAGCTCTGTCAGCCTGTGCTGAGGCACATGATGTTTAGGTTGGGAGTGACATATGGTTTACTACTGTTTCATAATTGGTGAAAGCAAGTCATCCTGTGGGAAACATGAATGTGTGGACCAAACGGTATTAGCTGCTGAGATCTTTAGACCTGGACAAAAGTGTTGGACCAATGAAATGACAGTCAACCCTAATTAAAATAATAAACTAATCCTAGTGAATAAATCATAATCTCCTCTAAGTCCAGCCTGGTCACTGGGTGCAATAAGTGCTAAAAGTAAATCTGTGTTTGTTTATCAAGCTTTAACAGAGAAGTGTTGTCCTGTGCATCACCTGAGCTGACCACAGCTGACCTCAGTCACCAGTTAGTGGAGCAAGATTCTGTGCGAGTTGCACTGAGTACCTTAAGTCCACATCAACCTGCTTTAGTTCAACCAAAAGCTGACCTACTGAGCCATGCCCTTCAGTGCAGCAGATGTCACCCGCAGTACTGTTATCATCCCTCCTCACCTGCAGGCGGACACGGTTGATATGTGTTGATCCCATGACTCCAATCAGGGCTCCGAGCACTGAGCCGATGATAGACCAGTTCTTGGTGCGTTCAGCTCTCGCCCTCTCCTTCTCATGGCTCTCCCTGACAGCTGCTGAAAACAAGGCAAACTTCTCTCTCTCTGAACCCTCTGCATTCTCATATGCTGTGCGGAGACGACGCTCCTCCTGCATCCATAAAAGAGCAGGATGGACATGTGGTTTACTGTGAATTCAATTCAATCAACTGATCTGTTATTCCAGAAACAGGTCAGTTTTGGAATGGATGTCTCTGACTGGGTTAAATATCGTTACCAATTATATTATCATAACTCTGTGATCACTTTTTGGCAAGTAATGTGTGCACTGTGGCTAACTCTAGATATTATTCTGCAGAATCAATTTTTCAGTTTTTCTTCTGACCTTTAACTGTCTGCATCTTGTAAAAATTGAACAACACTCTAAAACAACCACTGTGCATTTTTGTTTGCCTTATCTGACCTGCAGCAGTTTGTGCTCCAGCGTCGCCAACTCCAGGTAGTGGGCCTCCTCCCTGGACACTCTGTCCAGCCGGTCTCGGACCTCCTTCAGCCTGCCCCGAAGGGCTTCCAGGCTGGCATGAGCCTCACGCACTATCCCTCTGGCCACCATGAATGCTGCCTCAGCCTGGAAGAAACACATGCACTCCCTAAGACGTGTCAACAAATTTTGATGTGTAAAATTGGCAGGGCTCCTTTCTAAATTGCATTTACATTATTGTGGGTCAAATAAACTTGGAAGGTAAGGCACTTGTCACTGTCTGCTGACCTCAGTGACCTTGGTCTGAGCCTTGCGGACCTCGTTGAGCCCGACAAACTCCTCATACCTCTCCCACCAGTAGTTGACTGTGGCAGTGGCCGTTTGAGCTGATTTCTGACCCCACTGCCGCCCCAACCCACCTGCATACTGGAGGAGGGAGAGAAGACAGTATTTCACTATTTTGTTCTTTTGTAGTATCAAATGATGCGATTTTTATTACAAAATTGTAATAATCCAGTGGTTATCAGCATGTGGTCTGAAACAGTCAGACAAGGGATTTCCTGCACCTGTAAGGCAGCCACAGCACGTTCCTTCACCACTTCAGCTCCACCCTTTCCATCAGGAGGTGCAGGGTTAGTGGGTGGGAAGGGGACAGGCTTACGGTGAGTAGTGTGGGTTCGGATCAGAGTAATTCTGCCAGACAAAGATCCAGGTAGGGAAAATCGAGACAGACAGCATGAGCCATGAGCCCACAGACACATCTGAGCTCCTCTGTACCTGAGGTAGTAAAGATACCGTTAACAGTTAATCATCAGCTTCATGCCAGAACCAGACATAAATCTCAGGCTTCACCTGAGGACTAAATTGTGCAAAGGTACCTCATTACAGCATCACTTTCACAGCAGCTACAGAGCCGACACTGGAACAGGCACCTGCGATAAACCATTAAGAAAAATTACATTAGGAGTGTGCACAGGTTCAAGGCATCTTATTGGCATAAGTTATTTCAATCTAGAAATTCTGAAACGTTGTGTCCTTCAAATTATATCATTTGAAAGTTTATTTAGAAATTATGGCTCTATCCACTGCAATTCGTTAATAGCTTTAATCAAGTTTTTTTTTTTTTTTTACTTTTTGTATTTTTCCTGCTAATTAAATAAAACCATCTGAGAAGTTTAGATGTGAAGTCTGAGAACTGCTAACAACTTATCTGTGGCAATTCGACGAAACGTTTGTCGTCTGACCTTGTCAGGTGTCAACTGCTGGATACTACTGGTGTATTCGTAAATTTTATGAACTCGTAATTTTTAAAATGTAAAATCGTAACCTGAAAAGCAACTTTAGCTAAATTCAAATAAATGCAGTGAATTAAACAGTACAGTATTTTTCCTCTGGGTTGTAGTGGAGTAACAGTATAAAGCAGCATAAAAGAGAAGCACTCAATTAAAGCACACGCATATCAAAATTGCACATACAGTAAGTACAACACTTGAGGAAATGTACTTAACGTTTCCACCTCTGATAATTGGCTTACAAACTATGTTTACATAGGTTACAACACAGCTAATACTGACACATCAAATGACCATTTTTCCTACAAGGTTAGCTTTTAGCCATTCCTGTTCTGTTTCCCAAATAACTAACTTTAGCTTTGAGCTCCACGATAGTGGCTTACAAATTAGGGTAAAACTGTGTGAAACCCTGTGATAACTTCACTCATGTAACAAGATGTAAATAAATAAATATACCTACTTTCTTCGCTGCTGTCAAGCATACATGTCACAATGATTACATTTATTTTGGCTAACTAATATTGTTAGCATTTTTAACATCAAATGAAAGCCGGGTGAGTTTTCGGTCAGGCACAAAGTGGCCCTTCTACTTCCGGTTAAGAGATCACCGGGGTCCTTATAGTGCGGATTAAAAAGATAGCTAGGTGGCTGTGTTTGTAATAAAAACACATTTATTTCTTTTCTTCAGACAACTATAGTTACTGATAAATATGTCTGGCAGAGAAGGTGAGATGTTTCTTCCGAGGCTCAGCTTAACATTGTGATCATCATAAAAGACAAGTTTTAATAACGTAATAAGATTCAGTGGAGCGTGTTAGCTAGCTGTTGCTAAATGCTGCTAAAGAGAGCGCCGTTCTCTTTCGCCAAATCACATCAAATTATTTTCATATTAATGCATTTTTACTTCGTCAGTATAGGCATATAAAATTTCTTGGTGCACTGAAATGTCGTATTGAAAGGCGGGTATTTTTTTATTTTTTTTTTACAAGGTTTTTTGTACAGTCGGAATATGTCCCGATAGCCAGGCTAAGTACATTATCGTGGTGGCTTTTTGGTCACATCAACAACTCCAGTTTACTCTTTCTAGTTAAGCACTTTTGCCAGACCATTAAGTGATATAACAAGCATTTATTTTCCTCAGGTGGCAAAAAGAAACCACTGAAGGCACCCAAGAAACAGGCCAAGGAAATGGACGAAGTAAGTGTCGCTCTGGCCTCTCAGACGAATTTATCCATCATGACCTAATTGGTGGGATGGCCGGGCCAACAGTCCCGCTGTATGTTCTTCTCAAGGTTCCTAAATGTTTTTTTTAATCATTGTTTCGTGCACAGTTAGGCTTGAGCTTTTCCACCAGGCAGCAACACACTTTAGCTCAAGGTATCTCAGCAGCAGCACCACCACCAATTTCTTCAGAAATGACATTTTCTAGTATGATTGTTTTCTTTGTTAGCTTGAACATTTAGTCTACAAAATATAAAAAAATAATGAAAAATAAAGCCACATGCTTTAATTGTGCCCATTTCGTCTGGTGTAAACTACAATTTGAAATTGACCTGGGTTGTTTTTTGGGTTTGTTTTTTACCTTTGTGTCACAGTATTGTCGTTTTGCTCTGCTAAAACGATTAATAATTTAATTGCAAGAACAGTTTTAATAACTTATTTGCAGTCTAAATGTAAGAGGAGTGGAATGAATAGTAAAAGAGTTTCTAAAGTGACAATGTTTCTGCAGGATGAAGCGGCTTTCAAGCAGAAGCAAAAGGAAGAGCAGAAAGCCATGGAGGCACTGAAGTCCAAAGCTTCTGGAAAAGGACCTCTGGGTAAGACCTCAACAAGGGTAGATGAGAAACGTTTCCATTTTTACAATATCATTTTGACGCAATGAGACATTTTCTTATTACAAAATAACAAATTAGAAACCCAACACATTGTAACAACATGTCTCTCACTAAAGTTATTATAGTGTGCATGTCATAAATTGGCACACCGGCCCACAGGTGTTGCCGCCTCCTCCTAACAATAGTAAACTAAAACTGTCTAGTTTTCCTGGCCACATACTGTATTTTTATCAGCCTTTATTCACACATATGTAGCCAACAGACCAACTCAGAATATTCAGTGTCAGGTACCATGTATCCAGCATGTTCAACAAACCTCTTTAAAGGTTTCCTGTAGATGTGAGACTGAGTGTGATGGAGACCTGTCCATTTGTACCCACCACACTGGGACAGGCTCCAGCCCTGTTGTGACCCTGCACCGTATACATAGATAATAGATGGATGGTGGTGGTAGAGACGTGGTACAGTTCTTGTCAGATACTGTGATATTTGTGGTCCAGTATGTCAACACTGCCCTGCCAAGTATCTGTTCATAACCACTTTGACTAAGTTGTCTTATTCATTTTAGTATATTTTTACTCTAATTTTTGGTTTCCTAAATGGTAATATAAATAAAATGGTAAATAAAAAAATCTTTGATCTTGATTTTAACCCAGTCATTGACGGCCAAACTCAGAAACAGTGATTACAGACGTGCAAACAAAACACAAGCACTTACAACCATAAAACATAAATCTTACAGCGTCATGAAGATAAAAGGCAATATGTTTTTAAGTTCTTTCAATCTAGATATAACCCTACTCAAAAAAGCTGGGTCTTGGCAGCATGATGCACTATTATTTATTTAGTTTCAAGCTTGAAGTCTGGAGCACAAATATAAACTGTCCAAATGCAGTCTGGATTATAATGTGGTTGCGTGATCCTTTACACCTCGTATGCCATTGTTCACATGAACTCGGAGCAGCTACACATATTGTCTGCCTTTCAGTCACAAACACAAGAACAGTCTCTGGGATTCACAGACTTTAACAGCATTGTTGGTATTCATTGATCAAATTGGAGGTTTGCTTACACACCCAATTATTTGTTTCCTGTCCTTTTCCCCTCCAGTTGGTGGTGGCATTAAGAAATCGGGCAAGAAGTAAAAGCTGACTGACATCCGTTTGCTCCCCAGCCTCTCTCTTTCTGTGTCTGCAATGTTTGTATGCTTGCTGAAATATTACTCTGTTGAACACAAACCTGGTTCCGCCCTGTTGGAGAACTCTTCAGTGGTGAACAGGTACAGAACATGAGTTTAAGTAGTTTTTGAGAATTTCAGGAGCAGGAATATCTGTTACCAGTCACATCTGGTACACACATCCCAACTCATGTAGTTAGTTTTCACACTGTGAAATTTGTTGAACTCTTCACTCAATTACACACACTGACCACTTCTTCAGAACCGGTTTAGAAATGAAAGTCTGCACCTTTAGACTTGCTAAGCATTGAAGAGTCCTAATCCCAACTGTATTTCGCTTTGTGTCCATGTGAAACCTTCTCAGATACACAAACTGCCCCCAAGTTGTTTTTTTTTTCTTGAGATTTTTGTTCTACTGTATAATGGGAGATTCCAATAAAGTTTTTGTAAGTACTGCTTGTTATTTCAGTTGTTATAAAAGAACTGGTCAACAAACTCAATCATCAAACTGGTTAAAGGAAGTAGTAGTAGTGTTTTCTGCCTTTGAAACCCCAAGTTATTAACTGTTTCAGGCCTCATTTAATCAATAACCTGCACTGACTTTGGCAGGAAGCTTTAGGTTTTCACACTGCTTTGCTTACAACGTCAGCTTGGATGGATGAACCAGGCTAAAATTGTTTAAAGAGAAATTTGTGTTTTTATTGTCCAACAGCTAGTCTGTCACATACATTAGAATTGATTTACATGTGTAACAGGTTTGCTGTATACAGAGTAGTGTGGAGAAACCCATTCAGTTACCAGTTTATTAGGTACAACTAGCTACGAGCATCCTGCAGTAAATCTACCTGCATGAAGGCTTTAATGTTTGTTGATTCAGTTTTATGACTAATTTGTGCTGCTGTCCAGTTGTATTGTGAGATGCCAAACGAATTATTAGAAACCTGTCTTAGTAAAATGCAGTACAGTGTTGAAGAAGTGAATGTGTTTATAACATTTTCAGTGTTTCTGGTTATATAATCTTTATAGCAGCACATTTGAATATGAAAGCTTGAGTACATTGAAACCCATGTTAATCTCAGTGGAGGGAAATGAAATGGCTCGTGTGTTTTTACAGTTTTTGGCAAAAAGTATCATATATTGGTTTTGGAATGTGAAGAAAGTGGGCCTTAAGTTTTAAAAGCATAATGTTTTTGCCGCAAATATTAAGTCTTAATTTACAAAGGTCGGCTCTTTATCAAAATATTTTTTTATGCGACTTTGGCCAAAATTAGCTTAACATCTGAAATTTCATATATAAACTTGAAATTATTAGCCCTATAATATTAAATTCTGCCACTTATCCACTTTCAGGTTGTGTTTAATGATTAACTATGTGATTAGAAATTGTTGTATCCTGCTGCTGGGAAGTTTAACAAGATGTTTAGTGTCCAGACATGTATGAACTTGGTAAGTAATCCCAAACATTAAAATCCCTGTTGGTTTTTATTGATGTCATTCATACTTTAGCCTGAACAAATGGCTATTAAATTGCATTTTGTGTGGTTTTATAAAAGTCCTGATGAAACCTGTCTGTGACAGTTTACCCATTCACTGTCCCAGTAAGCCGTCCCAGTGTAGCCAGCATGCACAATATGGACCCTGGAATTGTCTGATCTAAATGGAATATGCTTGATGTTAATGTTAATTTCATCAGTTCTTTTTATGCAAAGCCAAAACGTTTGCTGTGAAGCGTTGCAGCAGATTTAAATCCAGTAGGGGTCAGTAATGCAACGTCGAGGGTTATTTAATGCTTGACCCTCCGATTCTGTAGGCGGCGGCCGCTCTAAGGACGCCAACTGTCGCAAAACACCACAGAAGAAGCAACTACAACAATTGAGCTCACCCGGGTCCAGGTAAGCTGCATTGACTTACACGTCAGTAAATATATAGTGGAAGACGTATTGAAGTAGAAACACCATGGTCTTAAAATATTCCTCTACAGATTAATTCTAGATTGTCCATGTGCCACCAGCTCAAAACATTTAGAACACTCCCGTTTTTCTAGTCGTTATTCACACAAACACATCTCATCAGTTTCAACAGCCGAACACAGTTGCACAACCGCCTGAGCCGGTTCCGGGTTTCGACCAGTCAGCAACAAACTAAGATCCTGAGGTTTAGAGAACTGCACAGCTAGTGTCTGGTGTGAAACAGTTAACACCCAGTGGCTGTAGGTTAAAGCAGATTTTATTTTTATGTTAAATTCTTTGCACAGATCTGGCTTCCTGGTTTTAACTTGGGTTTCCAGGCTGAGCTTTTCCTTCTGACAGATCCTCTTCCGTGGCCAGTTTTAGACCTACAGAGAAAAGCCCCACCAACTCAGGTCAGGGAGGCTGACTTTTAAAGGAATACTATGCGATTTTGAGGACATTATATAAGACAATATAAGGGTAGAGCCACTTTAAAGGGTGCTGGTAAATTGACTCATCACGTGGGTTAGGACTCCTTGGCCAGTAGTTGTGAAGTGAGACTTAATTCAGAAGTATTGTCCCCATTCTGTAGGCTCTTCCCATTTCAGCCCTTTCTTTCAATGATACACAATCCTTAATGGATTTTTTAATTTTAAAAACCAGTTATTTAATGCAGGTAATAACCTTATGGTGATTTAAACAGAGTTTAATCCCAATCCAAGCTGTAGAACTGCTCCATTGGTGAGTCACCTTTCACTGAAAAGTCAGAAGGCCCAAAATTGCTGCTCCCACATGGCAACTCTGTGGTCCAGCAGCTGGTTGGACCACAGTCAGGCCCACAGACTGTATATAAAGATGTACATGTGTACAGCTGCAGACTCCAGCTGGCTCACCTTTGTTGAAACACCTCTGCTGTTTGGAAATGGAGAAGTTACATTTCCCACACTACAAGAATATAAACTGCAGCATTGCACAGTTTATTCTGATTACTTGTCTGTTTTATTTATTATTCACATTAGACTTGACATTGTATGTGGGACAGTTTCACTGAGGTGAGATGTAACATGACTGTACCTTTAGCTTTTTTTGGAGTATATAGAGCAGACAAGCTGTGTTTGTACACAACCTGTAAATCACTCTGATGAAGCCCCTGCACTGAAACACACTGAAGCAAAGAAGACTCTTCTACTTATTTAGCTTGTGTTACATAGATTTTTATCATTTTAATAAATTGCAGTAGGAATAGTACAATATGGCGATGGACCGCTGACCTGTCCAGGAGCGACCCCGCTCGGGACTAAGCGGTATAGAAAATGAGATGAGAATAGTACAATATGCAAGTATAATTGTGCTGTTACCCTCCACCTATTGGGTTGCCTTCGTTGTGGACTTCAGCTCCACCTCCACAGGGTAATGGTCACTCACTTTCAAAGCCTGGAAAATAAACGGTCACTGAGCATTTACAGAGTTCTGGTTGAATGTGAACCAGGTAGTATTGGACACCATAATGTGGGGGCAAGTTGTGGATTTGTTTAGTAATAACAAAAATACAGAACCTCAGCTTTATCATTTAACATATAAAATCCAACTGGCAGTTAATCCTGAAGTTTAATGAACATTTTAGTGGGAACTGTGGTGTTGTCCATCAATACTTAGTCTAAGGTGTACACCAACATTTCATTTCATCAACACGTCATCTTGAAACCGAATTTGGTTATTTCATATGCTGTTGTGTAATGGCAAACTGAGGTCAGCACAGTAACTGATTTCTGGCTTTCTGAAATAAAAGTGAGAAGACAACGACAGACCTGCTCCTGTGTGAGTTTAAATGCCTTCTGGAAGTTGAAAGGTTTGGCAGAGTTTGGTACAACAGCCTCGAGCATGTCGTCTCCGTAGACCACGATCCTGAACGCAGGCATACAGGGTGCATTTTAGTCATATTACCAAAGTTGGTCTCTTGAGGTGTTCACACTACACTATAGGGTAATATTTCACTTTACTGTCCATCAAAGGGGAATTTCCCTTCCATACAGCTAAAAACAATCATAGGAATGTAATTCAAACAGTAACAAAGCCTTAAGTGTAGAGGCCCAAAAAAGACAACCTTAAAAATATAATTGAATTTTGTAACTGTTAACCTGCCCATTATTTTCAGGCAACTTAAAGGAGCAGTTCAACATTTTGGTAACTGTTTATATCATTGTTTTGCACCACTGGTGTTAATGCTTGTTACCTGTCATAGGTGTTATCATTTTTGGCGCTTGCCGTGGTGTCGACATCATCCCCAATCAGCCAGTGGAAGTTCGTATCGCTGCGGATGCGGATGCGTTTCATTTCTTTCTTGGAGACGTACGAGCCATCGGCATTGAAGTCGCCCAGGATCATGATGTTCTAGGCAAACAGAACATCAACACTCAGAAGTGCAGCAGGTGTCAACAGGGGCCCAGTAAGTAAAATTTTGTTTTCTTTCCGCACGTTAGTTCTCTATATGACATTCTGTGCTGGATAATTTGAGCTGTCTGTCGTGATTTTGTCAGGTCCTTACATCAGTCTTCCACTTGCCCTTGACCTGCTGGAAGACATCGTAGAGCTCGTCCAGCTCCTTATCTGAGTCCTCTGGCTTGGTGTGAACTGGGATCACCACAAGGTCCTGCAGCACTGTGGTAGACACACACACACACACACACCCCTCTGCATTCAGACACAAAGCCCACAGCCGCTTTTCCCTCCTGTAAACATTTTGTTACATTGATCATGTCATATCCTAACTCTAATCTAAAGAGACGAAAACGGGCAAAGTATGGCATTTTCAAAAAGGTTATATTTTTTTGAAGACACTTGCTCCTTTGAACAATTTCTAAGTGTGTATTCTGTGTGTACAACAAATGTCTTCTACCTGAAGTGGGGCACTTGAATCGCAGAATGTAGGGGTCTCTGTCAATAATGTCTTTTCCCCCAGTCACCTCGTCATCAAACTGATAGGAGTCCACCAGGTGAACCACGTCATCCCTACACACACACACACACACATTAAACAGATTAACAGACCTCTAAACAAGGTCACTGTGTTGACTGTTTACATCATCCTCGCTGCATAGATGGACAGTGAAGAAGTGGATTTTGCTGCAGCAATGTATGAAGGATTTTTGTATGAACATAAAATACTTCCATGAAAACTTGTCACTATTATTACTGCCTAGAATTCCAGCAGGACAGTTTTCATGAAGAGCAGATGTTTTACACACCCCTTTCAGTCCACAAGAGGCTAAAAAGATTTAGGAAAGATTCATGCTTGTGTTCAGATTAGTTTTCTAACTCATTTATCTGCAACAGGCACTTGCACACAGCTTCAGTACGCATCGGAAACTGCTGCACAGGCTCTGAACTCAGTCTGGGCATTGAGAGTGTGCTGCAGGTGCACTCACCTGTACAGGAACATGAACTGCTCCTTGTAGGTTGTTCGGCCCACACGGCTGCTGAGCTTCAGTGTGTAGGGATTCTTCTTCTTGGCTCTACATAGACACGATCATACTGTAATTTATTCTGCACCTCTGTCAGCCTACCGCTTTGTTTCAGACTGAAATATCTCAGCAGCCGTTAGATTGCAATGATATTTGTTTCAGACACTCGTGGTCACCAGACGATGAGTCCTACTGCACCACCATCTGTAGTCATGGGTTGCTATGAAACATAAATGTCACCTCAGGGTGAATTTTAATTACTTTGATCTCTTCAGTTTTCATGTAGCGCCACCATCAGGGTAATTAAATTTGTCTAGTTCTCTGGTTTATCACTAAATTCTTAACATGCTGACATAATAAACTAAGTTGGTAACATTAATACCTGCTTGACACCACCATGTTAGCACTGACCTTGCAAATACATCATCATGCTGAAATTAGCATTTAACAGCAAGGCACCACTGTGTCTAAGCACTGTACAGCGCCCGGGGAACTAAATTCCTGAGTGTAATAATAACTTAATCACTTGTTGAGTGCATCCAGCAAGGTTTTCACTGCAGCGCCACTGGTGTCCACCACCTCCAGGATCACAATGATGTCATATCGAGACACAATCTGGGGAAAGAGAGTGTGCTATTGTGTGTTATTTATTTATTTGTAGTAAGTTTATCAGCATACTTAACCATTTTAATCCTTCAGTTTTCTAAAGCTGAACTGACAGTGGTTTTGATAATTGAGTAACTGTTTTTCATGTTCATTTTCAATGACCATTACAGTAAGTATCCTGAACGTTTTCATTAATTTAATCCAGAATACAATCTGTAGTTTAATATAAAATGAAAATAAATGTTAGATGCAGCTCTTAAATCTTCACCTATTTTAATTTGCAATAAGCATGCTGTCTAAGCAGCATCTTGATAGGCCACACCTTTGAGGTGCATGGATTATCTCAGCCAAGGAGAAGTGCTCACTAACACAGATTTAGACAGATTTGTGAACAATATTTGAGAGAAATGGGCCTTTTGTGTACATACAGTATTGTTCAAAATAATAGCAGTACAATGTGACTAACCAGAATAATCCAGGTTTTTAGTATATTTTTTATTGCTACATGGCAAACAAGTTACCAGTAGGTGCAGTAGATTCTCAGAAAGCAAACAAGACCCAGCATTCATGATATGCACGCTCTTAAGGCTGTGCAATTGGGCAATTAGTTGAAAGGGGTGTGTTCAAAAAAATAGCAGTGTCTGCCGTTGACTGTACAAACACAAAACTATTTTGTACAAACGTTTTTGTTTCTAGGATTTAGCAATCCTGTGAATCACTAAACTAATATTTAGTTGTATGACCACAGTTTTTTATAACTGCTTCACATCTGTGTGGCATGGAGTCAACCAACTTGTGGCACCTTTCAGCTGTTATTACACTCCATGATTCTTTAACAACATTCCACAATTCATTTACATTTCTTGGTTTTGCTTCAGAAACAGCATTTTTGATATCACCCCACAAGTTCTCGATTGGATTAAGGTCCGGGGATTGGGCTGGCCACTCCATAACATTAATTTTGTTGGTTTGGAACCAAGACTTTGCTCGTTTACTAGTGTGTTTGGGGTCATTGTCTTGTTGAAACAACCATTTCAAGGGCATGTCCTCTTCAGCATAAGGCAACATGACCTCTTCAAGTATTTTGACATATGCAAACTGATCCATGATCCCTGGTATGCGATAAATAGGCCCAACACCATAGTAGGAGAAACATGCCCATATCATGATGCTTGCACCACCATGCTTCACTGTCTTCACTGTGTACTGTGGCTTGAATTCAGAGTTTGGGGGGCGTCTCACAAACTGTCTGTGGCCCTTGGACCCAAAAAGAACAATTTTACTCTCATCAGTCCACAAAATGTTCCTCCATTTCTCTTTAGGCCAGTTGATGTGTTCTTTGGCAAATTGTAACCTCTTCTGCACGTGCCTTTTTTTTAACAGAGGGACTTTGCGGGGGATTCTTGAAAATAGATTAGCTTCACACAGACGTCTTCTAACTGTCACAGTACTTACAGGTAACTCCAGACTGTCTTTGATCATCCTGGAGCTGATCATTGGCTGGGCCTTTGCCATTCTGGTTATTCTTCGATCCATTTTGATGGTTGTCTTCCGTTTTCTTCCACGTCTCTCTGGTTTTGCTCTCCATTTTAAGGCATTGGAGATCATTTTAGCTGAACAGCCTATAATTTTTTGCACCTCTTTATAGGTTTTCCCCTCTCCAATCAACTTTTTAATCAAAGTACGCTGTTCTTCTGAACAATGTCTTGAACGACCCATTTTCCTCAGGCTTTCAAATGCATGTTCAACAAGTGCTGGCTTCATCCTTAAATAGGGGCCACCTGATTCACACCTGTTATTTCACAAAATTGATGACCTCACTGATTGAATGCCACACTGCTATTTTTTTAACACACCCCTTTCAACTAATTGCCCAATTGCACAGCCTTAAGAGCGTGCATATCATGAATGCTGGGTCTTGTTTGCTTTCTGAGAATCTACTGCACCTACTGGTAACTTGTTTGCCATGTAGCAATAAAAAATATACTAAAAACCTGGATTATTCTGGTTAGTCACATTGTACTGCTATTATTTTGAACAATACTGTAGAACAAGTCATAGATCTTTGAGTTCAGCTCATGGGGGGCAAACACAAAAGTGTTGCGTATATAATTTTGTGCAGTGTATTTTAATCATCACAGTGGAGATGATGGTGTGTGTGTGTGTGTGTGTGTCTCTGTGTGTGTTCCCTTACCTTAACTAGGACCTTTAGGATCTCTGGGTCGGACACTTTGTTTTTTCCAAACCTCTGGACGTTAAACGATGCTACTTTCATGGTGGCTGTGGAGAAAGAACAGACAGACAGACAGACAGAAGAAGGAGGCAGAAACTTTTTAATGAGCTAATTTGTGTCTGGGCATGAGCAGGCATGTGGCAGCTGTTTCTTATAAAAGCTGAAGACTTATCACCTCAGCCTGTCTGTGTAAGACAGCACAAATACACATAGTAAACAAAGATAGGCAACAGAATTTAACAAATGTCATGGGAAAAAGCTTGTCCGTTCAAAATAACCATGATAAAATAATTTCACAAAATTACAGTTGACTAATAACAGTTACATTTTGTGTGCCACTGACTCCCTGTTGAGATCGAAGGCTCAACAAAAGGGGCTGAGGGAAACATTTAGGACCTCCTCCAACAGGTTTAGTCACATTTTTTTAAAAATCCTTTGACCCCCTCTCAGCTCTCCATGATCTGACTGAGTCTCCCTGCAACCAAATGCTTTACATAAACACAATATACTATATATACTATACTAGCTTGAAGCACTAATCTGTCAGTCTACCCTTTAGACTCCTGCTGTGTGATTTACTTATCATCTCTTAAGCAAATGGATAAACAAATATGAGTAAGAGCCAGTCTGTACTTAGACATGTCTGTCTTTTTCTGAACCGTAGAGAAAACAAATGCACTGTCTCAAAGTCAAACAGCAGCCATACTGTACATCCCAGACCAGTGACTGACTCACTATGTACATTTACTGACTTGTACTTGCATTTATATAAAGATGTTGAATGCAGGAAGACCTGTAACACAGTAGTTACTAGTTCTACTAGTGTTCTATGATCTGACTACTTAGAGGAACATAGTGGAGCATTTAGCCACTACAAAGCCAGATATTCCTCTCATGGGTTGGTAGAGACCAAAACAGAGCTGAAGACAGTGAATATTTAACTTTAATTCATCAGGCTGACACATATATGACTAAATAAATAACAGTCTTAATTTGAATTAGCTGAATCTGTAAATAAGCAGCTGTTTGCTTACTGCAGGTTTGTGTTTGTGTTTAGAGCTGAGCCTGACAAGCTGAGCCTGAGATGTCCTAAGATGGCCAACGTGCAGAGGAAAAACAACATGGCCAGTCCCGTGGTGGCATCTTCAGGACAACCTGAATTGTTTTGCCCTACTAATAGTAAGTATGTAAGAAAAGCAAAGTTGCCTCCCTCATTTTTAATCAATCTAAAAATGTAGTTTTTTGACAAAGAGGCTTTATGCAAAGTACATCATGTCATCAGTGAAACCGTCTGGAAGCACAATATATGAACAAAGCAGTACAGAATGTGAGACACTGTGTATGTTCAGTAGCTTAAACAAATGGAAAGTGGAAAATATGCAAATCCCAAATGCCTGCAAACATTTCTGTTTTCAAATTATATTCAAGTAAATATGAACTTGTAGTAAAAGGGTGTTAATGTTAACATTGTTAACTTGTAAGAGATATTTACCTTTACACAGTATTTAGTCATATTGAGGTCATTTCATGTTGTTTGCTGGTAGAGAGGTAACACTTGAATGTGGCTATTTGCTAATGTTACATGTAAGGTAGTTTTGTGTGAAATGTAGTACTTCAGTACAGTTGTGAAGTTCTTGAGTATTCTGTAAGACTTTCAACTTTTAAACCACAACATTTATTTAATAGTTGTTCGAATGTACTAATTTGTTTTTGCTGGTAGTTAATTGTTCAACATATCTAAAGCAGAAAAATCACCAAGTTTTTGGAGATTTTTTAATTTATTTTTTTACTATCATTAGACCTACAGACAGACAAGGTGTGTCTCACCTGTAGGAGTGGTGAGGATCTGCTGCTGCTGACAGGACCTTAGATTGGATCTGTTTACTCCCAGTAAGGGAAATAAAGTGAAGAAAGAGAAGGACAACCTTGTAGACTTCACAAGAAGTAAGTGCCCTCAGATCTGTAGTCCTCACCAGAGGCAAAACATACTGTAAAGGCTGACAGACAATTTGATTGGTTGAAATGGCAGGGTGTATAGAGAGAGAGAAAACAAACCAAATCATGTAACTCCGCCCCTCCCCCCATACCTACAGTACAGTATATGTATAGAAAAAAGTGTATAGAAACATGAGCTGCTCGACTGTCTCTGTCTTTGTTCTCAGCACAAGAAGCGACCACAAATGAGGGCATTAAAATGAGTCTATTTGCATGAGAGAGAGGGTTTGTCTGCTGTCTGTTGCCAAGCAGCAACTCTACAGAGATCAGACAACATGAACCCACAGTGACATGTGACAAACTCACAGGAAGTGTGGTAACGATAAGTGCAGTTTACAAGAGCTCCCAGCTTATACTGGAAGTAGACAGATGCTGAAGTGTGCATGGTCTGGGCTGATGATTAAGTGATCATTTATTACTTTGTATTTAAACTCGTATTCAGCCATTCCCATCTCACCTACTTTCCATCATTTGAGTTTTTTCTTCTCTCTGTATATTTTTGTTTCTAAAACAGAAATCTGGCCTCTATACAAAAAGACAGCATAATATTAACAACCTGTCCTTACAACAGTCCTCTTTCACTTCCTCATTCATTCTGTGGAATTGCTAGGCTGCTGTCAGTGCAGCTGACTACACCACTATCTTTGCTACCCAGTTTTGACATGGTCGTACCGCTCACTCATGATTAGCACTTTATCAGTAGTAGATGCAACAGGCTAAGCTCATGTCTGGACAGCATCTGCCCTCTGTCCATTAGATCTGCTCAGGCTCTTCCATCCCAGCTGTGGCTGTCGATTGTTCTGCACAAGCTGAGACCCACTCTAAAGCCACTAAGTGAAAATGTTTTAGACCAAGTTAAGACCAATATCATATCAGCTCAAGATATGAGACGCAAGAAATTTGTTTTTCATCTTCAGAAACGTCAGCACCTGGACTATCAGCACAGGCGTCCCCCAAGGATGTGTGCTCTCCCCGCTGTTTTTCCTCCCTCTACACCAACGACTGCACCTCAGGAGACCCCTCTGTAAAAATCCTGAAGTTTACAGGTGACACAACGGTCATCGGTCTCATCCAAGACAGTGATGGGTCGGCTTGTAGACGGGAGGTTGATCAGCTGGTGTGATCGCAACAAACTGGAGACGAACACGTTGAAAACAGTGGAAATGATAGTGGATCTTAGGAGAAGCTCCCCCACTCTGTCTCTGCTCACTATACTCAGCAGCTCTGTTTCAGTTGTGCAGTCCTGCTAGTTCCTGGGCTCCACAGTCTCTTGAAATGGATGACCAACATCAGTGCCAACTAGACAGCACTCAGAGAGTACAAACCTCTGCCAAGGCAGCTCACTATCCCCATAATGCCATTACACCTAAACGCATTATTCCCATGATAGTTTGACTGTGACAATATGATTCTTTGACCATGAAAACCTACCACTAGCATTTAGAATAGCATTGGTTTTCTTCAGGATATTGCTTGAATGTGCAATATCAGTTCCAATGATAAATATATACTATGTACAGTAACATATAATAGTGCAATAGGCAGTAGTACAGATTTATGGTTTTACTACACACTTTGATGTGTAGTAGCTTTTATGGGGATGTTATCATGCTATTTTTGTCTGAGAATTGTAGGCACCGGGTATGAAGTTTGAAGCAACAATATTGACACTGGCCCTACATTTGATTTGATTTGATTTGATTTATTTATTCTTTCAAACATGTAACAACAGTCAGTATGTAATCACACATAATTCCAGACATGTCCACAAAAATATTTTCAATTTACTTATACCTAGTACATGCTTGAACGGAGTAGGAAGAAGTTAGACTTATCTAGTCCTACCCCCTAACATCATCTTATCATCATTGGTTTGCAAGCAGTATTACTACATGAATACATATTCTACTTCCCGTCTGATTAATCATTAAGCCTTTTCTTGCATATATCTTGATTGACACATACCTTTATATTTATGTTTAAACTCATCAATATTCTTACTGCTTTTTATGTCCACACTTAAATTATTCCACAGTTTTACTCCACTTATTGAAATACAGAATCTTTTTTTGGTAGTACGTATAGCATGAATTTTGAAATTTAACTGACCCCTTAAATTGTATCCCCCTTCCCTTTCAT